GTTTTACTTTTTGATGTATTACATGTAAATTCAAGCCAAGGGCTTAATGTGTATGAGTTAGTACTCTTTTGTTGTAACCAAGTGTTAACTTGGAAAGCTGTAAGCCCGTGGGGCATTTTGCTTTTGTTGTTAACGTGTAACACTTTTGTAATGGAACTCTGATATATAGAAGAATGTGGTTATTTCATATGTCAATGCATATCTTTATTGATGGGTTTATGTTGTTATTTTTAGGGCGTTACACGTCTTCTCCCACAAGTCTCTTGTACCTAGGTGGTCATGCGTGGCAAGTTTCATGCTAAATCGACGCCGTTTGGTGATTTTGGGGGCATCAACACCTCGAATTTAAGTTTCTTAAGGAACTAGTTTGCCGAGATCGAAATCCGACGCTAACTCCCAAACCGGGAACCCAATTCGAGCCCCATCTTCTCCCACAAGTCTCTCGTGCCTAGGTGGTCGTGCGTGCCAAGTTTCGTGCTAAACCAACGCCGTTTGGTGATTTTGGGGCGTTAACACCTCAAATTCAAGTTTCTTAAGGAACTAGTTTGCCTAGACCGAAATCCGACTCTAACTCTCAAACCGGGAACCCGATTCGAGCCCCATCTTCTCCCACTAGTCTCTCATGCCTAGGCGGTCGTGCGTGCCAAGTTTCGTGCTAAACCGATGCCGTTAGGTGATTTTGGGGCGTTAACACCTTGAATTCAAATTTCTTAAGGAACTAGTTTGCCTAGACCGAAATGCATTGTACCCTTCTGAATGCATAAACAATTGGTTACGAATAAATAATTGGTTACGAATAAATAAGGTAAATGCATTGTTCTTTTTGAAATACTTTCCCATGCTATAATGTCCATGTAAATATTACCTATTAGATGTTTGATTTTATATCTAGGGTATTATTTTTATTTTTATTTCAATGTCTTTGTTATTGTTTGTTGTCCATTGTTTTGTGTTGATACTGAAATGATTGTGTACTCTTTATTGTGACTGCAGGTTGGTATTGGAGATCCTTATAGCGTTGTTTTTCATCTCACTGGAGATTCTGGACAGACACATGTTTGCCGACCACTTAATCCTGAAGTATGGTAATACATTCATTCAGGCCTATTGTACAAACTTTTTTTTTTTTTATGAAAATTCTGATGAGATGATGTCTATCAATGTAGCAATAATTTCTTGAAATGTAAATTCTTATGGTTGGCCATGATAAAGATTTCTCTGTTTACTACTTATGGTTGGTCATGTAGTATTTGAATTCTCTTTCCCCACGCTCTGTTTTCCTTTTTTTATTTATTTTTATTTTTTAACACTAATTTGGCAGGATGGCGAAGCATGTGCTCACTTGCTTAATGTTATTGCACCAGAACATGGTAGTGCCACCACATTGGATACTAAGGATCCTACTGAAAGAGCGAATCTGATTCTTGAGCATGTAAAGAGAATGGATTACAAAAGATATGTCACTCCAAAGGACATTGTTGAGGGATCGGCAAATCTAAATCTGGCATTTGTTGCTCAAATATTCCAACAGAGGTCGGACTAATTGCTTATGCATATTTTGGCTTTTCCCATGATTTTATCACTGTGGATTTCTTTGTAATTAGTTTCTGAATTTCTTAATGCAGGAATGGCTTATCCATGGACACCAAAAATGTCTTTTTCTGAGATGATGATAGATGATGCTCAAACTTCTAGGGAGGAGAGATGCTTCCGACTGTGGATTAACAGTCTTGGAGTTGATTCATATGTCAATAATATGTTTGAGGATGTCAGAACAGGCTGAGGTTACAATTTCCTTGCCCTATTTTTGAGTGCTTGTTAATTTTGTTTGATTTTTATCCCTCTTACATGTAGATGGGTTACATTGGAAGTTCTTGACAAAGTTTACCTAGGATCAGTAAACTGGAAGCAAGCAACAAAACCTCCCATCAAGATGCCTTTCAGAAAAGTTGAGAATTGCAACCAAGCTATACGGATTGGAAAGGAATTGAACTTCTCTCTTGTGAATGTAGCAGGAAATGATATTGTATAGGGAAACAAGAAACTCATACTAGGTTAGTGCACTTTGACACATGCTATTGGGCTTATGTGATAACTACGTTGAAGAAAAGTTTTCTTGAGTCACAATTTCTTGTCATATATCTACTTTTAGTAGACTTTGCTCAGTTCTGCATTTATTCTTTCAGTTTCATTTCTACTTAGTTACTATCTTTTGTTTGAGCCAGAACCTTCATGCATCTTGAGCAGGGCGGGGTAAGAAAATAATATTAATAACCGAGTATTTTTTTTCTTGTCCTGTCATGGGCCACATAGCATTTGTGTGTTTGCAATACAGTTGTGTTCTGATATATGCATAAGATAATATGATTAACAGTTGTGCTAGACCAAAGCCTCATCTCTTTTAATAGTACTATGGGTGGTCAAATACTTCTATTCTAAACATATTATAATAAATTCATAATTGTTATAGGACTTCATAATGTTATGAGTGTTTGAATTGCTGATTAACCGAGCTAATAATGGCTTTTTCAGGAAGAGAACCTGCCAGCTATGAATACTGATCCTTGGTATTCTGCCTATCACTATTCTCATTCTCCTTTGTTGAAAGACTTGCTGCAATCGATGAACTTGACAAGAAGGAAGATTGAAAACGAACACAGGCTACCTAAAGCCAGTGAATGCACTTTCTAGTCCATTTTATACTCTTTTTAACTTGAGCATTTTCAAGCTTTAGAAATCGTTGGTTTTGAGTTTCGCCATACGAGTCCTGTTGAAATTGACATTTCTCTGTTCTGGTATTAAATTCCACACCTAACAAAGGTAAGGCTGAGTTATGGGGATTTTCTGAGTTAGGTAAAAAAAATACAAAAATGAACAGGAAATAGCTTAATGTAACTGAGTTGCTTTATGTATTATTCTTCTGCATGCTTCATGTCAGTTTTTCAAAAATGAAAACGAAAACACTTCTTGTCTGCCATGTTGTATCCTGACTTTCCTAATCAAAGGGGCATATCTTGTTCTTTACAAGTACTTTTCAGATATTCCTAGGTAGTAGTCATACTTGTGTGGAGCTGGTGAGACTTGTGGGTTGAGTGACGTTGAGCATATATATATATATATATATTTTCTAATGTTTGTTGTGCAGATTGGCAAGCTGGTACATATTGTGAAGGAATTTTTTGTTTGGTGGGTTGAGATGAGTGTAAGCATATATTTTGTAGTGTTTTATGTGTGAGTTGAGTGTGTGGGTTGAGTGGCTAAGGACTATATTGTGTGTTTGTTCTCAACCTGTTTTGTTCTTTCCTTTTGGTTTTCATTGGTGGTTGTTATACTATTCAAAATGGGTCTCTCATGTGTTCAACACCCCCATAAACCCTGTTATGTGGCGGTTGAACATGTGTAATCCTATGTTTGAGTGGTTAGTTCTAGTATGGAGCTTATTTTATTTATTATTTTTTTTGGTTTTCTTTTTTACTGATATCAACTTCTTTATGTTGCCTTTCAGATTGAACTGAAGACTGGACCAGTTGATTTTTGATTTCCTACAACCAATTAGACCAGACACTGTTTCACTCACTACATTGAGTTTCACAGGCACACTTTTTTAGTATTATATCATTTTGAGGCATTCATGAATGAATGGGCTCTATATGAAGAGTTTTAAACATCTTACCAACTTATTGTAGAACTAAGTAATTGCCTTTTTATTTTTATTTTTATTCTTCAATCAAAAACTGCAGGTGCTTAGCAGCAAAAGGAGAGCAAAAGGAGAGGAGTCTAGTGAATGTCACAGATTTGCCAAATATTACCGGTCCCTTTGCCTAGGTGAATGGGTGAGTTTCATTGCTGTTACAATAACTTTTTTCTTGGTTTGTTTTGACTTGGCAATTTCTTCTAGTATGTTTGGATGCATTATGGTAAATAGGCTTAATGAGTTATATTTTGTCCTGTTTGCACAGATGATGAACTAACTACAATTATACTAAATAATCAATTTCACTTTTATGCTTCTTGATCCCTTAATATACTAATGTTATGTGGCTTGGCAATTTTATTTTATAGTTTAGAGTATGTGCTTATATGTTTACACCGAGCCTTGATGAATCAGTTTTCTAGATAGAATAGCTACTTTATTTATTTATTTATTTTATTATTATTATACTTTTGAAAGGATTGAAGTGCTAGTTAAATTTCATTTATGATAAAATTCTTTAGTTAAAATGATATTTGATTTGTAGAATCAAGAAATGCTTTTAGTGCATGCACATATATTTTAAGGCTAGTGATGCTTTGTGAGAAAATGTTGAGCAACTAAAAATAATATATTGATAAACTGAGTTACAAATTGGATTGGTGTGATTTGGTTCTTTGTTCCCATAGTTCATCTGGGCTCATAATATTGGTTAACCAATTCCCTCGGGTTTAGGCTAGGATTGGGAATGAACTTAAAAATGGAACCAATTTAAGACTTCAACAATCTTACTCGTGAAAACAAAGACAGACTTTCACTTATAAACATCCATTTTCAGAAAGATTTGGGATTGGATAGCTTAGATACCGTGGAGATTGTAAAGGCTCTAGAAGAGGAGTTCAAGCTAGAGATACTGTGGTCATTTTTTAGTTATTTTTTCCATCCACACCCTCTATACTTTGAATTAAGATTATTTGTTCTATGCTTATACAGAAAGCTTTATGCAGTCATATGTGATCCAAGTGGACCTCTTTATTTTTGCAGCCAGGGATATGCATATGGTATGAGAAGTTTCCAGATCTCAAATTCAGAGATTTGTTTCTTACATGAGAAAGTTGTGCAGGTAAAAAAATAGGGAATACAGTCCCTAGTCTAGTGGTAGACTTCTTCAATGAAAAGTGTGCAAGAACGAGGAATTAGTGACTATTTAGGCTGCATTTGATGTTTGGGATATGTCGAATTAGTGACTAATTTGTTTGTACATTATATCCCAAATTTCTTCAACTTGTGGTCTTTGGACCATGTCTCTTTAAGGAATCAATTTCTTCCTTTTTCTTTTTCTTTTTCTTTTTCCATTTACCTGATGAATTTTTCAGTTCTCTTGATTGTGAATCAATTTATGTCTTCATGTTGAATTTTTTGATCAAGTATTATTTTCTCTATGTGCCTGCAAAATTTGTTTATACTATATCTTTGGTGTGTTCTTATTTTGGTTTGCTGAATTAACTTTTTAGTTTATTCATATGCATCAGCGGTTTCTGAATTAATTTGTGTTTTCATTTTTCAGGTCAGAAATTTTTTGGAGAGATGCAAAATATGGTCCAAGAATTAAAGAACTTAGTTTTTTAAGTTTTTTCATATTTTAATATATGTAAGCACAGATAATTTTTTTTATTAATTCCTTTGTATATAGTTTTGAATATTTAATTTCCATTTATGAAATATATGACGTTATTCTATTCAATATGCGGTTATGATTCAAAATATAGTATATAGTGTGTATTACATTATTCAAATGTGCATACAAAAATAATATTGATTATTTTTCAAATATGTAGCACCTTTTTTTTATCACAGATTTTATTAGTTATTAATCACACTTAAAAGATGTGATCTAAATATTTTTAAATGACACTTAAAAAGTGTGATTAAAAATAACCATTTTTAATCACACTCCTAAAGACCACACTTTAATAAAACTTAAAAGGTGTGATTAAAAAACATACATCACACCAAAAAAGTGTGATCTTTATCTATATGTGTAGTAGTGTTGTGAGAACTTATGCAAGTGCATATGGTGTATGGTATGCCCCTTACACACCCAAACACTTCTTGTCATTACAAGTGAATTGTGAATTCTAAGATCTTCTCTAATAGTGCTTGGTGGCCTGAGGTATACTCAATTCT